AGAATTTTCGCAAATTTGAAGTTCCCGTATACATTAATAAAAATTAGCTGTGAGTAGACAAGACTAACTGTCCCAGGTTGCCATGCACACATTGGAAACAGGACGCAAATGAGCATGTTATGAAATGAAAATCATTGGCGCCTACGCAACTAGAAAGAGCTGACAATTACTTGAAGCAATGCACTCAAATTAGGTATACGTTAACAGGCATATTGACTTGCATGCAAAGTGAAAATTTCTCAAGGTGAGATAGAAGCACAGACAGCCACTGTCGACTGAATTAAAGGTGCGGGTTATAGGCTTGTAATCTGGCTAACCATAGAATCCTTTGCTAGGAAGTTAACTGTTTTCGTACTTCACTCTGACTACTGACGACCGCATGTGACCCTCGTCTCCTGCACCGCTGCTATAATCGGTGCTAGGTCTGCGTGCCCATCGTGTGTACTGGGCAGCTGCTACAGGACTGCTGATGGCCCCGCGTCACTCGAGACGCGCATAGCTTGCGTGCCAACGTGTGCATAGTTTGCCTTTTAACTCGCGTTGGAAGTTTTTCTTCTACATTCACTGGAGTTTTTGAAAAATATGTTGGCTATTACTTAATATCTGTGCATGCATTGCTATGTGTAAATCACTCGATAAAAGCACTTTGATACAAACATTAAGATGCCTGACGACACCAATCATCAACATATGTGCTCCTCAGTACAACTAAATTTTTCGCCGGTTAACTTAAAACAAGTGTTCAAACTCTGTGAAGAAATGGCATACTACTCACAAGCAAACATTTCAGGATTTCAGAGCATGCATTTTCAGCAACGAAAGCCGCAGTCTTCAGGATCCAACACGACTCCTACCTACCAAAACACGGTGAAACTTAACGTAGGTGTGAACCTACTTGAGGTTAGCAAATTGCGGCAAATTGTCCTGGAATGTTGGTGTGCAGAGCATGAACAACCGCAACTACCTAAATTTGGGCTACCGCAATGCGTCTGCAGTCGTCTATCGAATCACCTCTGACCGAAACTATCTCCAGCGGTGCTATGTGCGTGACCATCGAGCTGCTTGAATCGTGGCTTCCCAGAGCACAGTACATTAACAATGGCAAGTACCCCATCGGTTCCTCTACTATATACTTAGAAATGCGAGGGAAGGAAGGGGGAAGGGGACCAAACATTCCAGTAAGAAGGACATAAATTGCCAAGAACGAATCGTGCCAACATCCCGCATGGATGCTAGAATCACGGCAAACAAAAATTAGAATGCGGACTGACGGCAAAAAATCACAATATTTCCGGCCCTCAGTGATGAACTTGAGCGGTGCTTTTTATACTTGGCTGGTGGTTAAATGGCAAATGCGTTCCTGTGTCACTACTACTACTACTACTGCCCCTTTTGTGACTTTTCACACTAACAAAGCACTTGGTCCAGTGGTGGTACATTTTGATTGACGCGAAGAAAGATATATAGTTAAGCAAGTAGAAATAAGTACCGAGGTAACATGCTATTAATAAGAGCTTCAGTTTTCTGTTTCTCCTCCTGTAGATCTTTTGTCATACGCTCCACCTCAGCTTCAAGTTCCACCGAGTACTCTACCATGATCCTGGCTATGTGGTCTACATAGTCCACGTCCCTGGAAGCAGAAATTATAGCTATTTATTAATTGTAAACGTAATCAACATGAAAAAACGCATCAGGCAGGGTAATGCACAAACACGAGATCGAACGTACATAGCCCATCTGAATGTGCAGATTTCTGAAACTAAAAACCGAAATATAGTTTTATCGCTCTCCACGGAGTTGTAAAAAGTATTGACAGACAATTATTTGTCTCTGAGGAGCTGCTTCAATGAAAAGCATCGCCTTACTAAAATAAAACGATCCTTACGTAAATGGATTTCCACTGGACATCTAAGTATATAGTAACTTGTCAGGCGAATAACAGATCATGAAGGAACGTACGACTCTGAAGACTCACCTGTCACGCATACTCTGCTCTAAAGATTTACTAATGTCATGGAATGTGGGCCGTAGTGCGGGGTTTTCTGCCCAGGCATTTCGTATTGTTTGTAGTAAAATGGGAGACACTTTGACTCCAGATATATAAAAAGAAAGGGGAACGCAACAAATGCTGTCAACAAAGCCACTACTACGACTGTTATTAGTCCTACCAATGTTATTAGTAGGACTACACTCATTAAGAATACTGCAACAACTACTGTTATTAATAATCGGTATATTTATTCTGAATACTTACAGACCTAGCCTGCTAGCATAAAAAGTAAACACAAAAAGTGCCTCCTCGACTATGACCGCAATCTCGGTTCAAATCTTACAATTTGTGTAAAAATATATTTTGTTTCCTACTACACCTAAGAGTCGTGCCAATGCTTGGAAAAAGAGGAGAAATCCTTAAGCGATTGTTTTGAGTGATGAAACTTTTATTTTCCCTGAATGCTAGCACGTAGTTCTCTCATCGCCGCCTCTCACACCGAATGTTCGACGGGTGTTACAGCACAGCAGTTAGCCCACATGCCTCCTCAGTTCCTGGTATTCCTACACCGCCACCATCGAATGCTACTCACGCAATACAGACTGCAATGGCCGTTTCCAAGTTATTAGTCCCTCTCAGCCAAACATCCCCACCCCCAGGTCTTGCACCATCTAAGACTCGAAGTCGCGACTGGTTGGCCAGCAACTAAAAGCCCTAAATGTTGAGTCACGAGCTCGAGCCCTAAGTGGTACAAGATCTCTGTTTGGGTTTGGCTGGCTGATGACGGTACTATAATTCTGTCTATCCCACTAACTGCTGTGGGGCTGCTGACGCGGTTTAAGATTAATCTCCAAGGCTAAGCAATCGCAAAGTGCTCCACTATCCCTGAACGTAATATTTTTTTACCGCCGAAGACGTAGGCCATGCCCCGGAAAAGTCTACTACACATTCATTCACGCAGCCGATATAGTGGAAAAATTTGTTTCGGTATTAGCGCCGTACGTTTCCGAATTAATGACGTATTTTTATAAAATTGGCATTGCCAACCGAGAAATTGGGACTACGAAATGCTCATTTCAGTTTTCCTGGCTATGCAGTCAAGTCCCCTTAATGTACAACTCTTCAAAAAACAGCTACATTATAAATATTCAACTGGTTAACAGACCAACCCCATCTTAATAATCTCTACTGCCCTTCTTATTGCCGTTTCGTGTCCACATCTTATGGCAAAGCAGGTTGTTTTAATTATTTGGCAGAAATATTTTCTTTACTTTATGGAATAAGGCAGAAGGTATTGTAGTTTATAAATTTTCTATAAAACAAGCGATTGCTGGTTTTGAAACTCACAGTTGTTGAAATGAAAAGTATTCAGTTTTTGAAGGTAAGTAATACCGGAATGCCAAAAAAAACAAACAAAACTGTAATCCGGTGAAGAGAGATCTGACGTTGGGTCTGAATTCATGCACGCCCATCCGAACCTTTTCAATTATTGCTGCGGCATTCATATCACAATTTGGATAGGGACCTTATCGAATAATTATTTCTTGCATTATTATTGCAAAAGAGAAGACATCGCCCCTTTTCGTTCCGTTTCTGAGCGCATCCGGGTTACGAATTAACTCTGGGCCTGTCCATTAAAGGTCTGGTATTCAACAAACAAAAAACTCAGTCAATGACCTCTGTCTTCAGTTGCGGTCAGTGTATAAATATGTACAGACAAAAAGAAGCTCGACTACTAATTATGCGCAAAGCTTTAAATAATACGAATGATTTGGGGCGGTTATGACTCCTTACCTTCGGGTGGTGGAGTTTCGAAAGTACAATAGTGTGCGTACACATAATTGACTCCATAGTTTGTAATCTTGTGTACCCACCGGCTGCTAATGACACAGTTTTTGGACCTTCACCACGGACTTGTGCAAATACATCATACCCTACACACAAAATGAATTATCTTTGAAGAAACAAGACGCATTTGATTATCTCTACTTAAAATGAAGTCCGTTTACAGAAATAACTTACCTTGACCAAGTTTCTCATTAAAAATATTCGAAAATCCCAGTCTTGCGTGATAGAGGAACGACTGATAAGATCCTGAAATGCATCCTGAAAAGGAATACAGGCATAAGAATGGGCGAGTTTCGCAAACATTTAAACATGCCATGGTCAGAACCGCAAATACCAGCTGAACTTTGGGATGCTGCTAGTCTTCCATAACTTGCTCAATGAAATCTTTCCTGATATACAATTCGCTAGGGAAGAAGAAGAGCAGCAGCTGCCTTTCCTTGAGGTACTCGTCAACAGAACGCCCAACGATGAAATCGAGGAGACGGTTTACAGGAAGGCAGCGACCACAACACAACTTGTCCTTTTTTAACGCAACCATCCAGTTGCTCACAAATGGAGCTGTGTAACAATGCTCTTAAAACTGATTTAGACTCACGGCATGTTCGGCCCCGAAGGACCCAAACGGACCAACCACGGAGGATATAGCACGATCTGCCATTCAGCAAGGAAGCCTAAGAAGCGACTGAGCGCATTGCTGCGGGACTAGGTTTTGAAATCGCACACAGACCCAAATCTAACATGCACAGCAGCGTGATTTAGACAAAATACCGGCTTACGCCGAATGATAAATATAGGGTAGTGTATTGCAGCCCGTGCCTAAGCTGCCCTTGTAACTACACAGGTCAAAGTGAACGCATGCTCGGATCGCGCATACATGAACACAAATTGGCCGTACGACGAGGCGAAGAAATATCACAAGTAGCAGCTCACAATTATGAAACAGGCCATGAGTTCAAATGCGCAGCCGTTAAGGTACTCGTCCAAGCCGGAAGCAAGTCGAGCAGGGAATTGACTGAAGGCTGGTGAAGGGACGGGAATTCAATCAACCGATGTGTCGAATTGGCCCCAGCGTACACAGCCTTGCGCAATTAGGTGCAGTCACGGCCAGACGTCAATCACAGTTAATTTTGACCAACTCCTCTTTACCTGCCTCATTTTCGTTACTGACGCCCTGATGAACGTTGAAATCAGTGACGGTTAATTGCGCCCCCATTTTCCTCGTGCTTTCTTACCCCTCACGACCTGATGACCCTTGACAGTTGATTAGTGTACACACACTATAAGAAGCCCATCCTTTGTTGCCGTTTCTTATCTCTGAGAGAGTTTGAATATTCAAGGTAATTAATACAATGATCTGGTGCCCGACTATCCCTCTTCCTTACCCAATCAACCATTTATATGTCTGCGTTGACATTCTGCCAGCATCACTTTCCGAAAGCTACACATCACTTTTTTGACTGTATTTTTAGGCCTACTGTAATTCAACTCCCCGTGGACAGTGACTCTTATGCCTCTTCTCTAGATTACACTGTTCTTGTCTATTTTCAAACATGGAAATTTGTTTTAGATCCTGTTAAAGATTTGGTAAGCTGTTTCCATTGCAAGGCAAGAAAAGATTGCGATTTCTTTCCAGCATTTTAATAAAGGCCTACTGCGTAGTTCAACAAAAAGCAGTGAGCGATGAAAACAGAAAAAAAACAATAAATTATTTAACCTACTTTTAGGCTACCCCTGTCACAATGTTCGTAAACTAAACCGAACGAATTCTCACTCATGTAGCATCTAATGAAGGTGTTAACATTTTCGTTACGAAAATCCTTTAGACAACGTAGGAACGTATCCACTTCCGACTTCAGATGAGTGTTCGGTACGTTCAGAAATTCAATGTGAACGGTTGTCCCCTGTAGTCGAAGAAATGTTAGATATTAGAAAGTAGAGGAATATTAGGAGCGCTTGGCCAATAACCTACAGAAATTGTAAGAATTATGCAGAGGGATGATAAGCCAAATAATATTGGTCTGTATGCCGTCGCCAAAATTACTCAGGTGCTATGAAAATATTCCTGGTCTTCAGAAACACATCTTGCTTTTCAGATTAGTGACGCAGTTTCCGCTGTCCCTTTTCCTCTTCTAAACAAAGCCCTTCGAGTGATTTTGCAGAATTTGTACACCTATTCTTGTTGTTGACTTAAACAGGTCATAACATCAAAGCTCGATGTCATGTAAATTTCAATAACTTTAGAAGTAATAGGCATCATCTTCACAGACCCAAATAACGCCGGTAAAATACTCAACTTACAATAAATACGTTACTTTAAACTAGCCACTCACATTTCCACATCTAGTTTGACTCCTCTAAAATATTGACTGCAGACCTAACTACGGCTAGCGTATCAGGGACTGTGATGTTGGCGTACGCTGTTAGTAGATTGAGATAGCATTAATAAATTTACTACTTCGTTCTCGAGTGCCATAGAACGGACACTGTAAATGCTGATCAATTTACCGGAGATGCATAGGTCATAGTTCCAAAATAAGATAAATAGATACATCAGAACACTGCGATAATCTGAGCAAAAATATGGTCTAATTTTTTGCGTTTAAAACTTTTTGTGTGTTAAACTGTAGAAGGCGCCTGGCATACGAGCTTTGAGTTTCAATTTGTTAAAAAAAGCCGTGGGAATAACCTTTGAGATAATTTTTTAAAAATTCGCCTCGAATTCTTGAGTATTTAGTTAACATGAAAACTCCTATCTCAACTAATGCTACAACCGGGAGCAAAATGCAGCACTAAGGGATGGATAGGTATATTCAAACCAGATCAAACAGAAGTCACAGAAGCCGCAGTGTTTTGGCTTCATCACCTTGAAGACGGCCGTATTTCTTGATGTTTGCCAAGCTACGCATGGGCTGTCCATCATGGTAGCAAAACTAGAGAAAGATCCCACGGAGAGGATATCCGACGGCCTACATTGGCTGTTTAAAACCTGAAAAAAGGGTTTTGAGTGGGTGACATAGGGAATAAAATAATAGGAGTGGAATATAGTAGAAGTTATTCATAAAACCTGCATGAGAAAAAAGTTGCGCATGAAGCAAGTTCATTTGTAGAAATTAAAGCATAACTCACTTATTCGGGTTCTTCAAAAAATACCAGCTCTTTCGTGAATTTCAATTCTTCCGGATGAATTATCAGACTATCTGATCCTTGACCTTTTATATCAAGCGACTTACGTGTGGTAGAAAATGTGAATGAAAAGCACGAAAGCAGCTGGTAGCGCTATGCCGAACAAGATTGTGAAGAGTTCACCATGGTTGGTGTCAACTGAAAGAAAATAGTTATAACTAAAATAAAACGAGGGCAACCACACAAAATATAGCAATACGCTGTCAGCCATCAGCAATCTTCAGCATGAAGGATTTTTTTCTGGGTTTAGCTCTTTCTAACATAATTGTGTATTATGAGTGCATTACCTCGGGCGTCACGTACACTGATAATCACTGTAGTTGCCAAAAAGGGAAAGACTGCCGTTCTCAATCTAGACCTCGGCGCCTATTCAGTCATTTTTTGTCATTAACTCTGCGACGAGTCATAACTAAATCCAGCTTTGCCGCATCTGGGACTTCGTATGCATTCTTGAGTACGGATCACATTTAAGAAATGGCAATTCCAAATTCCCTTGTTTTCTGGTCTGCCATATTCTCGAACATTATGCACAACCTGTGAGGATTCCACACTGGGTCAAAAGGGACAACTGTAGGGACAGTTTCCGTAACCCTATTGATGATTTTGGAAGCATATCTCAGTTGAATTCTTCACGGCAAATTGTATATTTTCGGTACACATATGAAGTGAGACTGGTTGCAACTTCTGCCGGGGCTCGCTGTAGCCTTAGACTTTTATTCAGCAAGTTTTTGTGACTGTTGGTCTACGATGAGGTATCACGAACTGTGTCCCTTAAATATGCTAAATAATAAACCAAAAGCTCTCCATGTACAATAAATTCGCAAACATTCATTGGCTATTTAAAAATTAAATTGAAAATTAAATGGTCCCTGCTCTGTAGATCTTCTAATAGTAAGCGAACGATGCCAACTTATAAATACTTATGAGTAGCCTACAGAAAACCGTCTAAGGCCAGAGCACAGGCTTTTACATGCAGCTGTTAATGGCGTTTTGATATGTTATCTAACGCTCCTACTTTACATGCTGTCGTTGAATACGCAGCACGACTAAAGGAACTGGGATACTGTGCCCATTAGTAACGGCTTTAAAACCAGCTATAGATGTGCGACACATGACATTCTTAACTGACTACCCTCTCAGCCAACTTTAAGAAATTCACTTCATCCTTCCTCCAGAGGCAAACACCAATTCTTCAAGCCTCCACTTTCTCGGACAAGCTCGGCAATACTGGTTTTTTTCGATACCAGTTAGCATACAAAAATTAAAAATAACTTGCTTCTAATTCAATTGCAGAAGGACTGAATCTGCTTTGTCTAACTGCAACAATATCACTCAGAAAACATACAACATAGTCACGTACATGAATTACAGGGGGTTTGCAGGCAATGATCACTCTCTGGACCACAGCCCCCACCGGGCCAGACTTTCCTTGCAACATCAACAAGACTCGTACGCGGCCAGAGCAGAACGCTGTGCAGTACAAATATCTCCTCAAAACTCGCCGTGCTCACATTAAAGTCGTTCCACGTAACGTTCTCGGAAAATCCAAAAAAGTAATAATCGTATGGAATTATAAATTCGTTCTGGTTACGACCGAAGTAAAGGGTTATATTAGGGAGGATAGGAAACTCCACCACTCCCTGTGCGACTGGGCAGAAAAAATCCTCGTTCTCCGAAATGGTATTGTTATTGGCCTTCAGGTTGAGGTAGGTCAATCCAACTGCCATTCCGGTGGCCATGGCCACAGAGACGCTGATATTCTGCAATTTTCACATGGAAACACAGCGGAGGTGATGTTGGCAGGCAATTAAAAGTCAGTGGTATATTTCTAAGTAAAGAACACCTTTCTGACAGGACGTTGCTACGTAAAGTAGTTTTGGCCAGAAATAGGGGGTTTGAAAGCAACAATGAAGGGAAACCGAGAGTATGGCAAGTTTTGCGTCAGGAGACGTGTGCATACCTGTTTACACTGAAGGACAGTTCTACCAATTAAACTTAGCTTGAGGCTTTTCAATTTAACTGTGCTGCCAATACGGCCTTTCATTACCGCGAAACATTTTAAAATGGAAGCAGAATAAGCACTGTCATTGCAAATTTTGCATGGTTATCCTCAATTTATGTTTCTATTTCTTCATCTTCACATTAGCATTATAGTTATAAATAAAATTCATAGCGTAAATATTCTTATCATGCATTACATTTCTAGTCTTGGATGTGTTCTGTTTTCGCCGTGCCGTTCTTTTTCTAATATTTTTCTGTATATCAAAAGTTCATTTCCCACTGTTGCTGGGAAAGTAGATAGGGTTATGTCGTGGGGTCGTTGAAAGGTACTTATGTATTATAGCCGCCTACTATTCATCCGGTTTTCCGCACGCCATCCATCGATCCAGCAGGGGTTTGCTGATGGTATTGAACAGCAGAGCGATTCTCCGAAAGCAACCGCATTGCATAACTGCTAAGATAAGCAAACTAAGCAAAGTTGGCCTTTTGAACTAACCACGGGAATTATCGCTTACTTACAAATTTTAAGTAGGGTGATTACATAATCTCGTCCACTTTCGTACTTCGTTAAACTTTTTCCCAGTTGATGTTGGTGGTACCACTACAAAATGTTTCTCAGTTACCTCGCCCAAGGTTTGGGAACACCCCCCTTACATACACTCGTTCGCCGTTGGTAGGGGGGGTTAGCGATGATATTAAAGCTCATTTCAGTGTCTTCTCCCAAGTTTTGTGTAGACGGCCCAACTTGCCCTCGTAATTTTTTTTCTTTACCATAACTATTGGGATCTAATTTGTTCCCTTACATGCCTCGGCTGTCCTCTTCCCGAAAATCAGGTGTGCGTGAGCCTGCGGGGCGCGCTTC